AATATAGATACCTACATACAGACAGGTATGCAGTTACATACAGCTACATACCGTTACATACAGCTACGTACAGCTACCTACATACATACATGCATGCATACATACATACATACGTACATATATACATATATACATATACACATAAATACAGGGATACATAGATACCTTTTTACATGTATACATATATACATCATACATACATACATACATACATACATACATACATACATACAAGCTACGTACGTACGTACGTACGTACATACATTCGTACACACATACATATACACACATACACATATATACATATGTACATATGTACATATGCACATATATACATGGATACATATATACATATATACATATATACATATATACATATATACATATATACATATATACACATTTACATATATACATATGTACATATAGACATATACATATACATATACATGTACATATACGCATACATACACATGTGTACGTATGCATGTATGTATATATTCATGTATATATATATATAGATATATGCTTATTTATTTATTTCGTCGTACGCAGGTGGATTTGGTCTCGTGCTTGTCTCAGAAGACGGCATGCGAGTGGTCCGTTTGGCCTGGCATTTCTCGAGCTCCGCTTCGACTTAAGGTTATGTTCGCATCGTGTCTCACCTTCCTCTGAGCAAAAGGGCTTCGAGAGCTCAGGCTTGGGCGGCCAAGGGTCTCCAAAGGAGAAAAGACTGGCCCAAAAAAAAGGACAAACAGGTCTAAAGCAGGCTCGGTGAGCCTTCGCGCATTTTGGGGGGTTCTCAAAGGCCGGTGCAGAAGCTCCGGCTAAGGCGTCAAGCCTGTGGAGGTGTCGTGTAGAGTCTTAAAGTGTGGACCACACAGGGGAATTCTGTCAGACGCGAGTATGCTCAAGACAGCTTGTAAAAGCGAAGGATAACATCATCCACTTCGAGCAGCTAGGCAATGGCAGCTGATAAGTGCAAGGTATCTTCGTTTAGAGAAAAAGACGGACAAGCAGATAGACTCCTGTTCTGCCTTCCAAAAAGAAGAGCAGGAAGCAACCCACCTCTTCCGTTGAAGAAGCAGAACCCTCAATGCCAAATCTGACTTGTTAATTTGGTGCCGGAATGGCGGGCTACGAAGGTGGAGGCTCTTCCTTGACCTCCCCGCTGTCCTCCGTGGTCTTCGAGGTCCGCTGCTCGCAGACGCGGCCGGGGGAGGCGGTCTTCGTGGTTGGAGGCCACGAGGCGCTGGGCGCCTGGAAGACGACTATGGCCCTGCCTTTACAGACCTCGGCGGAGCTCTTCCCAAAGTGGCAGACCGTGAAGCCTGTCCCGCTTCCTGTGGGCTACAATGTGGAGTATAAGTTCGTGGTGCAGAAGGAAAACCGAGAGGGCCAGGTCCAGTGGCAAAACTTCCAGGGCAACTACCGCGTTTGTCCCGTTGCGGACGAAGTACTTCTGGCCGCCTCGGACTGGGAGAAAGCTTCGGCGGAAGTGTCTAGCCTAGGCCCGGCATCCTCCACGACCTTAAAGGAGCCAGAGAAAGCAGAGGAAAAGGATCGAGCCGTTCAAAAGCAGGAGAAGGAAGAGATTCTTTTGAAAATGGCAGAAAGCGGAGTCGACAAAGCCGCTGCGGAGGTCACTTCGACTTGCCCTTTGGCCGTCACTTTAGACAATCGCGAGATGCGCAGGAGGAACTTCTCACAGAGCCTCATGGCGTTGGATGCCTCCGAGCCTCAGGCCGCCTCGGCGACTCCGGGAGCCGGAGCCCAAGCCGGAGCCCAAGCTGAAGCCCAAGCTGAAGCCCAAGCTGAAGCCAAAGAAGATGCCAAAGAAGCGGAGAAGAGCGGCAGCGGCGGCAGCGCCGAGGCCAAAGAAGCGGAGACTTCTCAGGCGGAAGAGGCTCCAGAAGCCCCAGAGCTCGCTCAAGAGCCTCAAGAGGCGCCTCAAGAGACGCCTCAAGAGACCCAGGAGATGTTTGAAGAGGCTGAAGAGCCCCTCAAGGAGCCCGACACGGTGATTACCCAGACGCCCTTAGAGGACGAGACGGAGGAGCCACTCCGGGTGCCAGAAGAGCCGGAAACGCGAGGCGTTTCGCTGAAGCACATCACGCCGCCTGCCCGAAGAAGCGGAGTCGTCTGCTTTGTTAAGTCGTGTGCATAAGGTTGATAGAGCTCTGCTCTCGAGCAGTCAACCAAAGTCTGGTTTTTGGCTGAGGAGTTTCTCAGCTTTGGCAACCGTGGCTGATCCCGAAACCAAAGCCGAGCATCGAAAGGGGAAGAAGACTGCGCAGTCGCACTACGACCCATACAATCTCGGCGTCCCCGTCGTTGTTGTGACCAGTGAGGTGGCACCATACTCTAAGATGCTCGGCCCTTCAGACTGTCTCAGAGTCTCCGTGAGTCCTGGGCCAGCCCAGGACGGGAGGTCTTGGCATGGTGGCAGCTTCCTATGCCTTCGAGTTTGCAAGGCTCCGCCATTGAAAGGGAGCGAGTTGTAATTATTTGCCACTTTTGGAGTGCCCCGTCCCTTTCACTTGATTGTCTCTTTTGGTTGTCCGAAGTGAGGCAGTAACGACTAACATTGGCCTTGTAACTGGCAAGCGCAGCTTTCGGAGAGGAACGGTCATCGGACCATGGTGGTTTCCCCGAAGTACAAGCACTTTGAAGGGATTTCCTACGTCGGCGAGACCCGAGTTCGGGTCAATGACACCGAGGAGAGGCTGCATGGTTGAACTTGCTTTTGCAAGCTTATGCAGGCAGGACCGAGGTAGCTTGCGCCTTTCATCATGCCATTCTTGGGGCCAGCGTGGTCATCAAGTTCTATCGAACTTTGAAGGGCTGCTCAGAGCAGCCTGAATCGATTGCACACGAGAAGAGTTACAGGTGTGGGCCGGGCAGAGAGTTCTTGTTACTGCCCTGGCGATGGGAGAACTTGTGCTGCTGCCGCATGACGGGCTGTACTCTCGAAGTTGGGCAGAGATCTTGCTCGTCAAAGGATTTTCAAGCGATGGTGCTTTTACTTTCGTGTAAAGCTGGTAGCAGCTTCCCGTGCGCATTCTCCCTACAAGGTGCAGTCTACTGAAGACAGTTCAGGTCCCACCCACTATGCACGCTCTTCGATGTCCTTCCTTGCTTCCCATGTAAATTGCTGTTGCCTTGTTCAGTTCTAGCCCAGCAGTATAAAACATCGACATCAGCTTGCTTGGTCTTCGTATTGATATGCTGGGCCCTGGCTTTTTCTTTGCATGAGCTTCTGCTTGGGTGAAGGAGAACGTCAAGTACTGGCACTTGCGCAAGGATTACGAAGAGGCCTGCATCAGCAGCAAGATGCATCATTCAACACCGTCCGGGGAGTCTCTTAGAGTATGATGCTGGCAGGGCAAGGGGACCGACTTCTTGTTCATTGAGGGGTCCGGCATTCAAAGAGAGGGCGGGCTCTACAACGACAACGACGGCCGCGAGTATCCAGAATCATGTCCGATTCTGTTATTACATTTTGTCGGAAGCAACTATCCTTCATGTTGCTTCATGTTCCCAAAATGTCTGACAGCAGCCTAGGACAACCTCCATCGCTTCACTTTGCTCTGTCTCGCTGCCATGGAGGCCAACAATCTGCTCTGAGAAGCTCTTCATGTCAAGCGTTTCGCAGGCACCACTGATTCTGGATATCAACAGGCAGGGCAAATATGGTGACAAGGCCAGGGCGAGACTGGGCGCTTGGACCCTTTGCTGCCCAAGCTTTTAAACACAGGTGATCTTCCTCGCCAACGACTGGCAGGCAGGACTCGCGCAAGCCTTGGCGAGGGCGTTGCGCTGCTTTTGTGGATGCCCTCGTCCAGCTCAGGTCCCTCTCTACCTGTGCTACAAGTATAGACGGCACAACTGCTACTCCCAGGCCAGTGCCTTTTGGGACGCAGTCTTGGAAAACGTTCTGGCAGCACAGGCCAGATGCATCTATGTCATCCACAACATGGGCTACCAGGGCCAGTGCGCCATGAATGTTGCACCGCACTGGAGAGTGGCCGGAAAAGGGTGAAGCCTTAAGGTACCATGGCTGCGATGCTTGCAGGTTCTTCGGCATCGACGACAAGGCTGCAGAGAAACTGAAAGCAAGCGAATGATTCAAAGCCCGCCATGCACTCCACGAAAATGCAAAACCCTGCATCGAAAGCACCACCGAAAACCACAGCTGCGAGACTCCTATGTTGATGTTGTGAGGTCTGTTTCGCCGCACCCTCCTCTCACACACATGTGATTTGATTGTTTCGAAGCTCGTTTCCTGGAAAGACCACAGAAATTTCATTGACTTCTGTCTGGATTAAAGACACTTTCGAGTGTTTGCTCTTCTTCTGAAATCAGAGCCTTTGTGCCGGCTGCGTCGTCCTCAGTCCTTCTGTGACGTGTTCGCCAAGGAAGCATCCCGGTGTAAATCGCACCAGAGACAAAGGCAGAAGTCCGAAGAGGCGCTGCGCGGCCCGCGAGTCCGAGTCTCCGCCGGTCTCCGCCTTTTTCATCGCTTCTTATGCCATCATCTAGACCAGCACTCTCCAGGACTCGCACGAAGGACTGGGACTGCAAGGGCCGTCCACCTGCAAAACCAAATATAAAGCAGCGTCCACACCTTGGGAAGCCAATCGTCTGTATACAAGCGTGGCCGAAACTTTTCGACTGAACATCCAAATTGGTCTTCTTTCTGGCTTCCCTTTCCTGTCTTTTCCGTTCGTTTGCCGCATCCATCCTGCGAATAATTGGTCTTCTTTCTGGCTTCCCTTTCCTGTCTTTTTCCGTTCGTTTGCCGCATCCATCCTGCGAATGTGCTCAAGGCAGGTTTCTGCTCCGGTTGGTGTGCCTTGTCAAAGAGGCGAGAGACAGTTTGTCAGCATAGGTAAAGACTACATCGTGACTTCTTGTCGCTGTACAAGACAAGTGCATCGCCAGGAGACGAAAGCCATTCGGGAGCTTGCAAACGTAGCAGCAAAAAAATATCTCAAGGAAGTACCTAGTCTGGTTGGGGCTGGGCAGACATCGATAGCACTGTGCACTGCACTCAATGCAGGCAGCTGGAGACCTGGTGCGTGGCAACTGCATCAACCTGTCCAAAGGAGAGGGCATGTTGACCAAAAGTGCAGACAGCTTTGCGTAAGTTTCGTCCTCAGGAGCACTCATCTGCCTGGCTCTCAGCCGTAGCTGCCATGGCTCCTGGCGTCTCTCCTTCCGTTTGAGGCGCAGACCGGGTGCTGACGGTGTCGCCCAACTATTCGAAAGAGATCCAAACGCCGCACGGGGGCTTCAACCTGCAGGAGACACCGAAGACAGAGTCACAGAGGGGATGCGCGCCCACCACTGCCAGGATTTCGTTTCAGCGAAAGCCGCATCCTTGCGGCTGGCGGGAATCCTGAATGGCATCGATGACTGTCTGGACCTGAGGCAGAACGAACAAAAGCCCGGGAATGCTTCCGGGTTCGATTTTGGAAAAATTCGCAACGCGGTGCAGCCGCGGTTCACTTGGCGCTCGAAGTACAGATCCTCTGATGTGGCAAAGTCTCGCAATCCCATGTTCCATAATAGAAACCATGAACAATGTCAACGGGTTCACGGAAGGAATGCATTCCCGACAAGTTCACAGCAGATCCGTACCCCCAGCATGATCAACATCCCAAACCACACGCGATCGTTCTTCTTGTCCATCCCTTGTGCATACGGCCACCAGAGCATCCCTGCCGCCCTAGCAGGACCCAACCCCACAGACCCAAGGGAGGTCGGCCGAGGTCGGACCCAGACCCGAGTTGGGCGGGCTCCCAGAAGAGACTGCATAGGCTGCTTGCTCGTTTGCCTCTTTGCTTGGTATGGAGGACACCCGCATGCTCCCGCTTCTCGCCCATCCGCGCGACTGGACACTCCCCCCCGGGTCTGTGGAGCAGTACAACACGTGTCAGCTTCCCGCCCCCCCCCCCCAGGTGAGAGCATGACCTTAGCCCCACAGGGTGAGATCGTACTCCCAGCCTGAGGTTGGGATCCGGCGGTGGATCCAGACATCGTTGCTTGGCTCCAGGAGCAGCCCAGCCCCAAGCACCTCAAAGAGCCTTCGCCCCGCCCAGTTCGTCAACTTCAGCGTCGAGGACTTTGAGGAGGGAAAGCAAGCGAACAAAGCCGGAAGCCCCGAGAATAAGGGTTCTGCAAAGGGTGCTTGCGTCTGTTGTCTGCTGTTTACTGCATGCCGCCTGCGTATACTGAGTCCAAGCCATATGCGCCTCCTTCATCCCATCTTCGAGCGAGGTGCAGCTACAGCGAACGCTGGGACTGGAGGAGAACCCCGAGGCGGGGCATCAAACTAAGCACTTGTTCCTGCCTACGGCAGACCCAGCTCTTCTCCCAAGTTCTGTTTCAGCTGCAAAGCGAGCCAGTTGTGCCTAATTGGCTTCGTTGGACGCCTCACGTGGCCCGTGGCTCAGTGCTGAGGGAAGGCAGAAGCAGCTGCAGGAGGGTGAATCGATATCGAGTCTGCCTTGCGGTCTGTGGCGGTTTGTGCTCGGGGCAACGGGAGAGGAGAAGTTGTGCGGTTCAGTTCGTGGCTGGCTCGGGGAGGTGAACACCAGACATCTTGCGGGTCGTAGTTGTAGAGCCGTGAGACTTGGTGTGAGTTTCAACCTCGACTGAACCGTCAAGCGTGCTTTATGGTGTCGCCGGGAAATGTCGAACCAGTGTTGTAATAGTCGCTCCTAGCCGAGCACTTTCAGTTCCCGCCGCTTCGCGTTCTAAATCCGGCATCACGCTGGCACTCCATGATGAACCCAGCATTTCAGGCAGACTCAGTCGCAGTCATCCGAGGCAAAAGGGTGTGGATGTGCTCGCGTCCATGATCTCCTGGCTAATGCAGGTGGGATGTTGGGCAGACGAATTCACCTGTGAGTGTGCCAGCTGCCGTTTAACAGAGCTATTTGAGGACACCGGCAACGGCGTCACCGGCCATGTGCAGCTGATAATGATGGGTGCGCAACATGCCTTAGCGGCCTTAGCGATTTCGCTATCGTTCTTTGAAATCGCTCGCTCGCTATCTGTGCAGGAAATGGGGACCGGCAGTACTCTGCCTCGGCCTCGGCAGCAGCGCAAGCACTTGCGCACCGGTGGAAATCGAGATTCTGTGAGGAGACACTGAGATGGGCCGAAGCCAACCACCGCGGCCGCATCTGCGGGTACGTCGGCCGGGGCCGAGGGAAGCAGGCTTTTGCTCTCTTCTTTTGTGACTTCTGGGTGCTTTCCCTTAAGACGAGGTTTCGACCCCAAGGTGGAGTCTGCACCTCAGAGATCTCAGAGACCGAGGGTTTCCTTGGCCTTTTGGCGTTTGTTGGCCACTTTGAGGCACCAGATGATGGCGGGATGCGACCTGCTGCTGATGCCATCCCGCTACGAGCCCTGCGGCCTCCCTCAGATGTACTCCCAGATGCTTCTTGGACTTGGACCACCGAGGATGTGGTTTCTTTTTTCTCGAGGCAGAGAGAGAGAGAGAGAGAGAGAGAGTGTGTCTTTTTTACTGTGTGAGCTCAGGTACGGGACGCTGCCCATCGTCCATGCCACCGGAGGCCTCGTCGACTCCGTGAAGGCAGGGCAGGGATGGGGGTCGCCTAGGCCTGGGCTGGGGGAGGGGACTTGCTGACTCGGAGTGCCTGTGAACGCCAAAGGATATCTCCGAGGGCATTGAGGTGGCAACGGGCTTCCATGTCGGCTGCCTCGACTCAGCGAGAGCGAAGAGACGTGTGTGGAGAGGAATGTGCGTGTGTGGAGTGGGCCCCTGGTAGCAGCAAAGGTCAGCCCGCTGAGCTCTGACACGCTGAAGGACAACTCAAGGGGCTCTTGCGCTTTCACGGTGACGTGCTCCTGACCTAAGCGCCTAAACCCCAGGCTTCGACTGAGAGAGAGCCCAGGAGCTCGAGATGTAGATGTGCACTGGGAGGTTGTGTTTGGATGCAGGAGACCGTGTACCGGGCTGTGGAGCTGAATCTGAAGCGCAGGGAGGACTTCTGTCGGATGCAGCGCACGGCGATGTGCGAAGCTCATCTCCGTAGGCCAGCTTTGCACTTCGCTCCCACCCTGCACGAGGCAAAGTGATTACTACTGGCCCAAAGCCATGGACGAGTATGACTGACGCCCAGAAGCCCCATTGTGCCACTGGTGCGGAGTGCTCACTTCAGCCCCTTTCGAAAGGAGCGGCAGATAGACATCGTGCTCTACGAGCATGCGACGGTCCGTTGAAGGACACCGGGAAGTATTCCTTTGCTGCATTCTTGACTTGGGAGGATTCTCTGCAACGATGCAAACTAAGTTTGTGTTTGTACCTCTGTCTCCTGCCTGCCTGCCTGCCTGCCTGCCTGCCTGCCTGCCTGCCTGCCTGCCTGCCTGCCTGTCTGTCTGTCTGTCTGTCTGTTCTATGTCTCTCACTCGCTTGTACAACTGTCTCTCACTCGCTTGTACAACGTCTCCTTGCCATGGCAGTGGTCCAAGACAGAGCTGAGACCACCGACCGAAAGACCTACTAAGGGCAAGGTTCCTAAATCAGCGTTGCGAAGGCTACAAGCCTCTTCTCCTCTTCTTGGCTGCACGGCTTCTTAGCCGCTCGAATCCTCGTCGTAGCAGGTCTGCCCCACGATTATGTGCAATGGCAACGCCAGCGGCGTGCGAAGTTTCACGTGGCTGGGATTGACTACCAGAAGTTCTGGCAAGACATGACTATCATGCAGGTGGAGCCAGACAGCAAGCTGATGACCTCTCAGAAGGTCGTGTTCATGGCCCGGCGAAGACGTGAGACTGATTCGGCTTATGCCTGATCGACAAGGGCAAGCCAAGGTCCTCCCGAAGCTCAACCTCACGTTCAGCTGCCTCAAGCAGTTTTCGCACTACGAGGGCTCACTAGTGCATCTTTGCGAGATGTCATGAGGCCCACATTGGACCCTCAAGCGCAGCGGGTTGTCGGTCGCTTTCCAGAATCCCAACACTCCTTGCGTAGCTGCTCAGACGGTCCACAAGGAGGATGTGCTTGATGCAGCGTCAGGGCCTGTAACGGGGTGCAATGGAGCCACGACCAGCTTGACCCTGAAGAAGCAGGGCCCTGACATGTATGGCCGGTGCTCTGTAGAAGATGATTCCACAACGGAGTCGCAAAGCTTTGTCTCCCCGCAGCCTTGGACCGCGTCCACTTCCGGACACACAGTCAGTTGGGCAGCCGCGGAGCAACATGTTCGAGCCAGCTGAGAGACACTCGAAGCTCGCCGCAAAACGGTTCACGGCACTCAAAGACGGGCCAACACTGCAACTGCGACTGGTCCCCCCGAAGCTACCGTGGACCCATTTGACTCATCTGATTGTGCAGATTGCAACGAAGCTTTTTCCGGACGACTTTCTTTCGTCGCAGGGTGACCATCCATGGATTCTACCGTGAGCTTGAGTCGCAAAGCGGCAGGCGCGAACTCGATCGAAATCTTTACCCACCTTCACGGTCTTGACAAGGTGCCGCCCCAAGGAGCCGCAATGCAAATCGCCCCCAAAGCTCTCTCACACCTTTTGGCCATGCCCCTCGCACTGGCGACAACTCTCGCCTTCCGTTGAAAATATGTCAGTTTTTAAGTTGTAGGTCGATTTTATTGACAGTGTCTTTTCAACTTGTGAAGTCAAGATAGCCTCGATGTGTATGTCAGATTTTGTACGTACACGCAACTAATTCCCAAGGAGCAGATGGGAGCTGGTCTGGGAACAATAGGCCAACGGCCCAAGCCACCTACGGGGAGATGGAGCAGTGGAACGTCGCCAAGGTCACCGACATGTCTTGGCTGTTCCAGGATGTGGACTTCAACGAGGATATCTCGGCAGGCAACAAGTCTCAGGTCACGAAAATGAGCGGCATGTTCTACGATGGAGGTGCCTTCGCGTCTCAGGTCACGGACATGAGCGCATCGCACGTCTGACTGAAGGACTCATTCACGGGTCATCTGCGACATGAACGAGACCACGAGGGCGACATCCAACAGACGCTGGCAGAGCCCAGACAAGGTTTGAAATTGGCCATGTGCGCCGTGGTCGCACCTCCACTGCCCGAGCCTTCGTCCTCTGCGCTGCAGCCTGGACGAGGTCACCGGGACTCGCCATGATAAGGATCGTGCGAGGTGCGCGTAAGACTGTGGTCCACACGAGGTCTGGGTGTGCCCCGGATCCTGCACTGAATTACATTTCCTTCTGGCCACGTCCTTTACTTTGCTTAAAGTGCTCGCCAATCACGATGCTTCCACAGTAAAGAGAATGTTGGGGTCGTCGGGCTAGCATCGCAAGCGGAGGAAGTGGCGCCGCAGGTACGTTGTGATGTTCCCAAGCATGCCTGAGCAATGCTGGGTTTTTGCCGGTTCAAAGACCGAGCCACCGAACCCAGACGAGCGAGAAACGGAGCCATGCTCGCATGAGTTTGCTTGTGCCGACCTGTTACACAATTCGTAGTCTGTTTGCGAGGATGCAAAACGGCAAGAACCTTGACCAGTGCTTCTAGCCACAAGTACAGCAGTTCGCAATGGTGATGGCGGTCTTGTCGGCTTCTTGTTCATACCTCTGAAGCCTGTTTTCCGACATGCATCGGTTTAATAGATTTTTGCCTCGAAGCCAATTAAATGCATATGGTTCTCCATATAGTTGAGCCGGTGCTTTAAGGGCACGGCTGCGAACACCTCGACAGCTGCGCGTCATCAACCAGATTGCAAGAAAGACCAGTTGACGCCTCTCTTGTTGCCCGATAGACACGAAGCAAAGCCTTTGTCGCCGCTGCAAAACGGGCCATTCTCGGCTCCCTGCAACAGAGCAGAGAGGAGAGGAGTGAGAGGAGGAGGGAGAGTGGGGGGGCGCGCCTGGGTGCTTGGGCTGGGCCAGCGAAGGCTCGGCTTTCAGGCAAGGAGGCGAAAAGTCCTTCTAGGGCTCGCAGCCGAGAATGGCCAGTTCCGTGGAAGCCTCGGCTCAGGGGGGGAGGGTTGTCCAAAGAGTTCAGCCAAAGGCTGCTGCCCGAGGCGACGTGGCCGAGGCGCCGGCTCCGCCTCGGAGCCGGGCTCTCGGCCGCCGTTTTTTGCTGCGCACTTTCTGGGCGAGAGCTGTCGTGAGACCTCTTGGGAACTGCAGGCGGTGGCACTGTGTGCGCTGTCTCTTCGGGTGCGGACCCCGGCGCACACGGCCCCTCCGCATGGCCGAGATGCTGGGAGGTAGTGGCTTTTGCGGGGCCTCACCTTCCTCGTCCATGTCAGCTCTCGCTTGCGGGGCCCATCACTGTCCTGGACTTGGCATAGTCTCACTTGTTTTTTCCGTTCCCCGTGCTCGAGCTCTTGCGAGCTCTTGCAGGTGCTGGCCGGCGTGTTGCCGGCCTTCCCGGCGGCCGCAGCGGGTGATGGAGGAGCAGGGTGCGCCCGGGGATCCTGTCGGCCATGTCGGCCATGTCGCAGTGCACCCCCGCCGCAATGCCACAGGTTCCAGGCGATCATGTTCGCTCCCGTGATTAGCTTGTTTGCCATCATTGGTGTCGCCATGGTCCGGCTCCCGAGGGGGGTTTTGCAGTCCGCAGAGACCTGTCCTTCTATCGGAAAGCTGAGATCGGCGGATTCGTGCTGGGCATCTTCGTCCCGCCAGGGGAAGGTCTCTTGTACTGAGTACATCTGAGTACTGAGAGCCGCGTTTGGTGCAGCTGGGGAGGTGACTATGGTGACTTCGAAACCACCTTGGGAGAAAGAGAGGCGAGGCTCCTGCTCCTGGGCTCCTGGCCATGGCTGGAATGGAGTAGGCACGCGAGCGTGGCTGGCGCCGCGGCGTGCTTCGTGGCTACGATGAGGAGACGTATGCAGCCGGAAGCAAAGCGAAGCAGAAGCAGACTTCCCGCAAGCACCGCAAGACCGTACTAAGATTTTCCAAAATGGGTCTTGCTGCTCGAGGCCATGCGTGGGCAGAGCAAGGAGTGGGCGCAGGCCAGGTCGCCTCTGCTCGAGTCAGAATCTCAGATCTTCTCAAGAGAGGTGGACTACCCGTTCGCGAAGCCGAAGCCAGAGCCAGGCTCCTAAGGAGAAACAAAGGCACTTGGAGCCCTGATTCTTCTGAGCAGAGGCCGCAAAACATGCCACAGCTGCCAGGCTGGGCAGGGAATAGCCTTCTTGTCAGTTCCTTCTTTTGAAGCTGTCAGGCAGAGCGCCGCAGGCGGGTGCGCCAGGGGCACCCGGCGCTCCTGCTCCTGGGGCGCCCGGCGCGCCACCAGGCGCACCACCAGGCGCACCGGCCGGGGCGCCGCCACCCGGTGCACCACCTGCAGGCCCTCACCAGCCTTGGCCGTAAGCTCGGGTTGAGGGTGCGACAGGGTGCGATGGCGCAGGCAGCTGAAATCCAGAGCTGAGTCAAGACCACATGAACCCGGGCTAGAAATGTCGGGGGCCAACTGCAAGTCGCAGGAAGGAAGGATTCGCTTCAGAGCGCTTCAGGGCGCTCCTGGCTCTTTCTGCGAAAAAGCTTCAAAGTCAGAGATCGAGTTGCTACTGCTCTTCAGCACTCTTGGGTCCGGTCGAGCATCCTTCTCTGAGAGCCGCTGCGGATTTTCAGTGCCTCGCGTGGGCGCCCCACGGCCTCTTTGCTCCACAAAGGCCGGCAGCTCGGTTAGGACCTATAGGGCCTTTTGGGAAGGGGAGGGGTGCGCAGTGCAGTCAGGTTCGTGAAGATGGGGAGTGCCCTGGCCACAGACACCATCCCGGTACTGGTGACCATGGCCGGGACCTCAAAGGCGGCTCAAACATCGCTGCCGCTTGCTGCCGCTGTCTGCCATCTGAGGTGGATGTTCACAATGCAAAAGCCCAGGACACTTTCGTGTAGCAGTGCAGCATCAAACAGCGCTGTCTTTAGGGGCCCCATTCAGGCTGCACAACATGACCAGCTGTGAAACAGACCCTTCCTGGTGCTACTGCTACTCCGGTGCAATGCTGGCAATGGTGGTGGGTTGGATAAGACGCTAGTGCACTCTTGCTACTACGGCGGTGCCGGGGATGGTGGCGGGTTGGATAGGACGCTAGCGCTTTGAAGGAATGCCAATCTTGAATTAGCGAAGTTTTCGTGTGTGACTTTCCATCTAAAAGAAAAATTGGAAGTATGTATCCGCAGTGGCGTATGTGCAATGACGTGCCTGAGTCACCAGCTTCGGGAATTGGTGCAGCCTCGCGTGACATGCTACGGGCATCTCTTGAAAAACATTTGCGAAGATTGCCTATGGGGCAGTCTTGGTTCACCATCCTGGTGAAATGAACATTTCTTGAAAGCCTTTTAAATCCGTGCGCAGGGGCCACCACTAAGCCTCCAAAGGTGCCTAGGTCTCAAGGTCAAACAGGAAGGTACACATAGTGCCTGTGAATAATGCGTCCAAAGTACGCTTCGCTTGTCCTGGAGTGCGGTACGTCCGCCCTCACCAAAAACTGCTGTGGGCCGTTGCTGTGTACACGTACAGGGTCAGACTTGCCGGCATGTGTGCTTCGTTGTGGGCGCGATGCACGACAGCACGTTGTAGTCTGTTAAAAGCCGCGAGAAAACACAGCTTTTGCGGTATCGTCCCCAGCTATCCTGGCGGGGTGATCACGGTTTCGTGTTGGTGAACCGGTGATGTGGAGGTGAGGAAATGGAGATGCCCGAGTTATGATTTTAGTTTTCTTCACGAGTGTTTTCACATTTTTTTGAGGTTTCGTTAGCGGAAAAGGTAGCATTTGTTCACTGTATGCCCAAGGCACCAAGTGACGTCATCTGCGTGTGACACTCGGAGCACTGATTGCTCTGTTACACACAGCAGCACTTGATGTCATTGTTGTGCACCACGAATACCTCACTTCGGTAGCCTGAATGGGGCCTCTAAAACAGGGTACTTTCACACCCGTCTTATCTCCGTGTGATGGTATGAGTTTGAAACACAAAATAAATCGCCAGCTGAGTTTGGTCAGCGTGACTTTGCGAAGATGCGCAGTGATTTCAAGTTGCACATCTGAAAGCCTTTTTATGTCCAAGCACAGCTGCGCGTGTACACGTCAGACATCACTGTATGCAAGGACATGGACTGCATGAGCATCCAATGCTTGTCATTCGTTCCCAGAGAGGTGATGGGGCTGGGGCAGGACATGTTCTACTTCTGCAACGTTGGCAGCGGCGCGAGAGCTCAGTACACTGCAGTGTGCCGCAGTATCGGAGCCGTATCGGTCGTAAGCTTTCAGACGTGTGGGGACCGGGATTCTCAGATGCAGACGAAGCAGGTGGAGCTGCCACGAAGGTCATTGGGCGGTCCCAGACCTTGAGCGTCGAGGTCGGGATAACTACGGCCCCTCGGCAGAGACAGCGTGGACAGGTTGAGAGCACTGCCCAGCAGGCAAGATGCTTTTTTGTCGAGGTTGTTACGTTGTGTCTCCTTCCGTCAGGTTCTGACGTTGATCGTCTACGAGTGCCCCGAACCTGCGGGGCTGCCCAAGCTGGGTCCCAGAAGCAACAGATCGACCCTCCTGTCATTCTCTCAGGTCTTCACGCCTGAGACGGCTCGTTGCCTCGGGGTGCCAAGCTCTGCTCTCTTAGCTTTCGCCGGCAGTCCTCAAAATCACTGATTCGGGTCTGCTCTTGCAGGTGCTCCGCGTACCTGTGGAACGGCTAGCAGAACGCTACAGCTCAGGCTCTGCTCTCGTCAGAAAAAAGCCCGCAGTAGGGCCAGCACACTGCATCAAATTTCTCACTTTGATTTGTTTGAGTTTCAGTTGGAGGCATCTTCCAGCAGTGGTTCAACCTGGACACCAAGTGCCCGGCCTCAGCGGCAGAGAGCATGGCAGAACTGGGAGAGCTGTTTTCTTGTTGTTCTTGTTTGGTGTGAAGGACGGATCCCCGGATGCCCGCCGGGGACCTTCAGTCCCTGGTCACCAAGTTCGAGCAGGCACGGCGGAGAGGGGGCGGGGAAAAGGAGAGGGCGGAGATGGAGGGAAGAGTTTGCAAAAAGCTCGCGAGTCTTACGCGGACTCGGTGAACGACATCTACCAGTGCGGCCCCAGAGACACAAAAAGCGGCATTTTGTTTCACCACTCCGAGAACCCTGAGGCCCAAGGTCTGCTTGTCCGTGATCGGCTCCTCCTTCGAGGCCAGGAAGGGAAAGAGATATGCATGGAGATGGAGAGGAGGGGGCTTCGGCTCTGAGATTCTCAGGTGCAGCAGGGCTCGAGATCCACCTTTGGGATCTTCGTCGGCGAGGCCCCTGCACAGAGAGAGCTCCAGTGTAAACCCGGGGGGGTCCTCCGCTCACCACTCTGAGGATGTGAAGACGCAAGCAGGCGGGGTCGGGCAGTTTGTGAAAGTGGGGCCCCTTAAAAAGGGGGTGTATCTCGGGTGTGTCACCGTGGCAGGCCCTGACCTGAAGGCGCGCCCTGCTTTGCGAGCCCTGGAGAGGCTCGCCTGGGGGTTCTCCTTGGCAGGCGCTCATCGCCTCCCACAAGCAGACGCTTGGCTGCGACTGCTCGCAGCGTTTTAACTGCAGTGCCGGCAGCGGAACACGATGGCCTCGCTTGGAAGGCAAGCTGCATACATCGATGCCCTGCACGAGGAGCTCCGTCGTCTAAACACCCCGTCGGGGTGCTGAGCGCACTCGGCAGAACCAGAATCTGCATCCGTCCGCAGCTCTTTTCCGAAGGTCTTATCGGCCTCTTGCAGCAAGCATGGCGCAGCCCATTGGCCCTGGAACGGTGCGGAGCTCGGGAGCTCGGTCTGCAAAAGGAACCTCTCCTCTCCTCCTCGCTCCCTGTCGCAGCCTGGCTCCTTTGCGGTGCCCAGACAACCCGGCGCCGGGGGACCCAGAGCTGGCCCCCGAACGCCCCCGAAAGCAGCTAAAGCCCCCCCCTTCCCTTTTGTCAGAGACGGAGGCGGCCCCTGGCGGCCCTGGCGGCTACGGCGCCTTCGGCGCGTCCGCAGCCCGAAACCGCCCGCGGCGAGTTTTTCTTGTGGCGCACGGCTCTGCAAGGCCCGTGCCATCGTCGATGGCGCCCTCCTCAGCCCGTGCACGGGACGTTTCGGAAAGTTTCTGGCATCCCCCAGCAAAATATCCTGCGTTTTAGTTGACTGCAAACCTGCGAGGCACCTCATTGAAGAGCGAGACCTCTGCCAACTGTTCACATCCTTTTCACCTCCAGTGTCACCGCATATGCTGACTGGATTGTTGACTGTTAGGTACAACTAGCTCTGTACCTGAAGTGCGGACAGCATACGCCCATGGGCCGGCAAACAAGCCGCTGTTCAAAACTCACCGGGCGCGGTAACCCTCTTTGCTAGGTCTCTCAGACGCCATGCCTGCAAACAGGCTGCAGAGAGGGCGAGGACATTCTCAAAGTGCAGCTGCCATTGCCCCTTAGATCTGCAAAAGCAGCCCCCCTGTTGTCGCTGCACCGCGTCCATCTGTGCCTTCCGTGTCCATTTCGGAGTCTTTCCCTTACGCTCGGGGCACAGTACTCGATTGAAGCATGCGCTGGGATGAGAAACAGGGCAAATCCGCAGTGATGTGAATGATTCCTTTGCCCGAGCTCTCGAGAGTTACGGTCAGTGGCCATTCCTTCAGGATGTTGAAACATGGACAACCAAAAACCCAGTCGGAGTTTAACCACTTTGTGTGCTAAGTCTCTTCGTGATGGGTCTTGCTGAATTTTAAGGGTTTCTTCTACTAGCTGTTCCAGGAGTTCTCTTCCACGCTGTTTGGCGGGACCCCACTGGGATGTCCGCTCTGCAAGGATTTTGTTGTGAAACACACTTGTGTGTGCAGTAACAACCGCTAACGGCGTAGCTGCCGAAGCATCTCCTGCTCGACGCGTTCGACGCCTTCAGCTTTTTCAGATAGCATCCTCCTGGCGATTGCCTTGCAGCTGGTGGCTGCGATGGCGGCTGTGCGGCGCACCGGCATTGTGCCGGTGGTTGGCTTGCTGACGGCGGACCAGGTGGCAGACCTGAATGACATCACGACGGCTGCCAACCAGGTCCTGGAGGGTGCGGCTGAGGCGGCGGTGTCGACGGAGGTGGTACAGGATTTTCCCCCTTTGTTGGTGGAGGCGTCAGCGGTGGATCGACGGTGACCTTCGCAAAGCTCCACCGATGGTGCCATCGACGGCGTGGAGGGTGACACCATTGCACGAACTGCCGCGCAAGGCGGCGCCTATTCCTCCCTCGACGACTACCTCTACACTGGGCACACCGGCGTCTTCGACGGTCCAGGTCAAGGCTCTCCCGACACGACGCAATCCTATTTCCCCGAGGGCGACGGCGGGATCTACGACGCCAGCAGCCCCTATGGCACCGATGCCCTCTGCGGACTACTTCGTGAACGTGGATGCTAAGGCCCGTGCGGCGGCTCGGCTGGCTGCTGGGGCGAATCCCTTCAACGCCGCCATCGCGATGAGTGCCTCGGCGTCTGGGCTGGCTATACGCCGGCGCAGTCTACTTCGTGTCGGCGCCCGCCCAACATCTCCCTTGACGGCTTCCACCCGACCGACGTCACCCAACGGGAAGGCTTCACCGGAGGCGCTCATGCCCTCGACGACCTTGATGGCACCGGAACCGACGCCGGCGGTCGGCCATCAGCAGATCCACCCGGCAGTAGCGACGGTGGTGGCAGACACATTCCCGGCGACCAGCGCAGGAGTTCCTGGGATCAGCGCCAGCACCGGCGCCCTTCTTCAACCTGGCCACCGCTTCTACGACGAGGTCTCCCCCCCGTCTCCAACGATGGCTCCCCGGACGGCGGCCTTGGCCAGTAGTCCTGGGGCAGATTGGCGGGGTTCCTCGCACCAGGGCCTACGACGACGGTGCCAGGGGATGGGTCAGAGCCATGCATGGGAGGTTGCGGCGGGGGAACGGCCGTCTTCCTTCACCCCCATCACGATGGAGGCGACCTGCAGCGCCGCGCCCACGCGGCTCGATGCAGCCAGGCCCCTCTCGGCCTTGGGGCCCAGTGGCGCCGCGACGCTCGATCCCAGGACGAGCGTCGCCAATGTACGGCGCACAGGACAGCAGGCGCTGGGACGGTGCAGAGCCTTGGACGGCGCGGCGTTTTGGTCTTGGCACGGAGGTCACTGATCCTTGCGGCACCTGGCCTGCGACGACCTCGGCGAGGTGCGCCGGAAAGAGCAGGCAGCTAGGACGGCGGCCGGCCCGCGGGGGGGTAAACCGAGACCGATTACTACTTCATTCGGCGGTTGCCCCGCGCACGGATCACGGTGCAGCGCCCGCCCATGCCAAGAGCCCCGCGGCGCCTCCAACATGTGTGACGGCGAGGGCAGGTGCCTGAGGGCCCATCGTGCTCTGTGCTTACGGCGCGCATGGGAAAAGAGGGCACAGATGGTCCAGGTGTGAGGGGCTGGTCGGCGGTGGTCGGCGCTAGGCTCTTTCTTGGCGATTTGCCACGACGGCCCCGCTCCCTGCATGTCTTTCTTCGGCGCTTGACGGTTTGTCGACGCCACCTCCATATCACGGCGCATTGCGCCCAGGCCCCTTGAGGCAGACAGACCGGCGCCCTCGACGCCCAGAAAAGAGACTGAGTGCTGCACTGTTGGTTTGCTTCGGTGGTCTTGGTTGTTGTCGGCGGCGTCTTTTCCTCTCCCACTCTCTCCCGCAGCGTTTTGCCCGAGACGACGACGCAACAGCACACCCCCCGTGCACATGTGGCTCAAGACGCTGCGGCGCCTCAGGCGGGCACCTTTGCTGCTTTCCTGGCCGAAGTGGCGGCCGCCGCCTTTGCAGGCCTTCGCGGTCACTTCAGGGATCGTGTCAGACCGGCCCACCCGTCCCTGGCAGCGGCGGGGGTCCCGGAGCAGGTCATAGTGAACCTGGTTCGGCTAAGGAGGCCCGACGCCTTGCCAAGGCGGTGGTGCGAGGCCTGCCCGGCACGAAGCTCAAGCAGGCTCTCGACCTCGGCGTGTTAGCGCCCTTGGTGAGGTTTGGGCCGCCGACGGGTGCACCGTGCGGTCGACGTGGTGGTCGAGCTGGTCGGCGCCAGGGTCGGGGACATCATGCTCTCAACGGCTACCTTCGGTCGGTGGGGGAGAATCCCTCGACCTCCCGCTCCATAAGACGTGAAAGGCACGAGTGAGCGGCGAGGTGCTCCGCCAGTTCTTTCCCGGAACCCCGGCGATGCCAGCGGTGTTTCCCAGTGGTAGCCCTCGACGCTGCTGAGGTAGTGGGTTCATCTGACGACGGCTCCTCATCTTCCTGGTCGGGGGGAGACTCGACGTCGGATAGTTGAAAAGTTCCTTTCTGTGGTTGCAGGTTCAGGTTAACGGCGACTGCTTTCGCTCTGAGCTCGCGCTCGGAAGCCGAACGACGCAGTTTTGGACCCGGGTTCTTTTTGTACCATCTCTGCCCCCTTTGCTGCCGACGCGCACATGGCTGGTGCAGGCGGCGTGGTCATACCCGGTGGCGGCGATGGAGACCTTGGAGAATCTCATTGCCACGGCCGGCGCGGCCCCCCTGATCAAGACCTACCTGGCGGGCGAAGGAAGGCAGTGCTGGTTGTCATTTATTCTTGCTACCGAAAGCTGTTTTCATGGAGATGTCCACTCCAAGGTTTAGCAAGTACAAGCTAGCTCGTGACATGGTTCACAGATGTTCGCAGATTTCCAGTGCACACAAAGCAGCCAGTGCTTCTGTGGGGTGCACTTCGCGCAGTGGTCGGCGCAGGTCCAGGCCTACGAGGAGAAGACCGTGGACGGCGTCAAACGCGTCTTTTACACACCGAGAAGCTCCTCGGCGCGGAGGACGTACTGGCGCAGCTTTCCGGCGCCAAGGCCCTCAAGCTGATCGACGGGAACCTCGTCACCGAGGACACCGACGAATGGACCTGCAAGGGGATCATGCTCACTATCGACGGGATCGAAGCCGCACGCTGGGCCTGGATGCCTGGATCATCTGCGGCTACGACGAGGGATCGACAGGTTCGCCAATTGGTTCGATCGAAGCAGGGGTCCATTCCGGCGGTGCAGAGTTATTGGGCGGACTCCACATTCAGCGAGGCGACGGAAAGGATCATGAAGGACACCTGCGCGTGCAAGGAGACACATGGCTCGGATGGCACGGAGCGCGCAAAAGGAGGCGACGCCCAACGGGCCAGACCAAAGGCCAGGGCCGCGACGGGCAGCAGCCACCGAAGAAAGCCCGGCGGCCGCGGCAGGACTGGAACCAGTGGGCGGCGGCAAGCGGGAGAACCAGTGGACGGACCAAAAACTCCGGCGGCTGGGGAAAGCAGCGCCAGGCAGAGGGCGCCGCCGGCGATTGGAAGCCCAACGACGGGGTCGGCGCGGCCCCTGGGACTTGGTGGGCCGTCTTGTTGCATCTGGGAGACCGACCGGTCAGCCACGGCGGTGGCCATGCCTGCCTCTCCTGCAAAAGGGACATCACGGCAACGACGATGACCCGCCAAGGTGGCCGACGTGCTCGAGAAGGTCGACCCTTGGGGGCGCTGCCTCATCATCTTCTCGGCAGCATGTCAGGACGTTTCGCGTGTGACCGACGCCAGGCCGTGACGGCGTGCACGGCGGGCTGTTCCTTCAAACTGTGGAGTTCATGCAGGAGGCACCGCGGCGCTTCGGCTTCGTCATCTTCGAAGATGTCGACGGCCGACGGGAAGCAGATCACGGAGTCCCTGGGCACGGCGGCGGTGTGGGTGGACGCCGCGGACTTCGGCTGAGCTGGTCGTGCGACCACACCTCTGCATGGCTGGTGGCTGTCGGCGCAGGCGAAGCTGGGCCCTGGGCCAGTAGGATGGGCTCCGGCGACGGGTGGGGGGTTTGGACATGGGCGACCTCACCTTCGACGACTCCGTTCTCTCGGGCCGCTGGCGCCTCCCCTGCTTCACCACCCAGCGCTCGACAAGAATGGCCGGGCGGCCCCCAAGGGCTGCAGGGGGAAGATCCCGACCGACACCCAGCAGCGGTGGTCGGCGGACAGACGCCAGTTTGCTCGGTGGCACTATATGTCAAGGAGGCGATGGGGGCGAGCTCCGACGGGAAGCTTCAGATCCCACCTCCACGGATCAAAGAACAGCTGCGTCGACGACCGCACCCGCCACCGTCTCATTGGAAACGGGTGGCAGCGGGTGGGATTGGGGT